TGAATGAAGACTCACTTAGCCTCATCGTTGGATCAAACTCAGCATACGAGATTTGGAAGTGCTTGGAAGAGCATTATCTTGCCTCAACAAAGGAACAAAAGCTACAACTCAAAGGGCAAATGACTATTAAACGAGGAAGTAATGAATCTCTTGAAGCATTCCTCAAGAAATTCAAAAATATCTGTGACAGTCTAGCTGCCATTAACAAGCCTCTTGATGATCTTGATAAGGTGTTTCATTTGTCTAGAGTGGTTGGGTCACGCTACCAACCATATAATCTTGCTGTACTCTCTAAAACTCCATATCCAACCTTCAGACAGTACATCTTAGGCCTCGAAAACACTGAATGAGATCTGAAGGCAGAAGAGGAAGAAGAAAAGAATTCAGCCCCAAACTATCGACAAGTGTTTATTGTTCAAAAAGGAAGAGGAAACCGAGGCAGAGGCAGAAAAAGCTTCAACTCTAGAAGAAGAGGCTTCATACAAGCAAGCAATAACAACAACCACTGGTTTGGAAACAATAGACCAGTTGTCACAAATAACAACCCTCAGCCATATCAAGGAAACCTGCAACAGAAGAACCAGCCTAAGACACAGAGTTCAAAAGGTGAGAACACTTGACAGATCTGTGGAATTCATGGTCACATTACCATAAAATGCTGGCATTGATTTGACCATGCATATCAAAGTGAAGACTTGCCTCAAGCTCTTGCTGCAGTATCCTTATCAGAGGACAAAGATCCAAGTTTCTATGCTGACTCTACAGCAAGTGACCATATGACCTCAGACAAAGGTAATCTCTACTCAAAACTACCTTATAACAAAAACAGGAAGGTATACACAGGTGATGGTACACCCCTTACTATTTCTCACGCGGGATCAGCTTCTATTGGTCCATTAAATTTAAATAAAGTTTTGGTTGTTCCAGATTTAAAAAAGAATCCCATTTCTATTAGTAAGTTTACACAAGATAACTCTTGTATTTTTGAATTCTCATCAACTGGTTTTGTTATTAAAGATCCAAAGACACAACAAATTCTTACCAAAGGATCTAGGAAAGGGCAGCTTTATGCATTAGATGAAGAAGCACAGTATACTCTCTCAACACTAGCAATGAACAGGGCAGAAGACTCTATTTGGCACCAGCGTTTGAGGCATCCCCAGTCTCGTACATTAGAAACTCTTTCTTCAAGAAAAGATATTATTATCTCAAAATGGGCTACACCTTCTCGTTTGTGTACTAGTTGCCAAATGGGAAGAGTTGTAAGCTTCCCTTTACTAGAAATAAAGAAAAAGCATAATTTCCTCTTCATAAAATTCATTGTGACTTATGGGGTCTAGCCCCACTTAATTCCACTCATCATTTTGCATATTATATTATATTTGTGGATGATTTTAGTAGATATACATGGTTCTACCCTATTCGCTAAAAATCTAAACTCTTTGATGTTTTTCAGAAATTTCAAAGGATGGGTGAGAACCAATTCGAAAGAACTATTAAAGTCTTTCAATGTGATGGTGGAGGAGAGTTTACAAGCAAAAACTTTCAAGATCATCTAGCAAAATGTGGTATCAAACAACAAATTTCATGTCCTGGTACTCCTGAGCAAAATGGGGTGGCAAAAAGAAAACATCGCCACATTGTTGAGACCGGTCTTACTTTGCTCATACATGCCAACATGCCGCTGAGATATTGGGTGGAAAGCTTCTCAACAGCCACATACCTCATAAATCGATTGCCAACACCCAATTTAACAAATAAAAATCCTTTTTCTTGCTTATATAATAAGAACCCAGATCATTCTATGTTGAAGATCTTTGGATGTCGTTGCTTCCCTTACCTAAGAGACTATGCATCCAATAAACTACAACCAAGATCTTTACCATGTGTTTTTATTAATTATAGTCCCATACATAAAGGGTATAAGTGCCTCCATCCTTTAACCCAAAAAGTTTATATTTCAAGACATGTGGTATTTGATGGAAATTTTTTACCATATACTGATCTTGCTAACATTTCAAAAAGTGTTGATACAAAAGGTGAACTTTGTAGCTAACCAGACTCTGATGAGTGGTTTCGAACAGGAAGTCTACAACCTTCAAAACATATCAGTAGCATGGAAGAATCCTACCCTAAAAAATCGAAGTTCATAAATCACATGCCCATTTGTGGTGATTCAAGCCCACCTGGTACGACAAATGAGGTTCAACCAGCTAGTTCTCATGTGTTACCACTACCAATAAAGGAGCCACCACAAGATGAGCCAGAACATGAGTCAATAACTCCAGACCATCTAACTGCAAATCCAGTAAGAGATGAAGGGAGTCGTGATGACATTTCCTCTCCTATTAATGCCTCAACAGTAATTGAACACCCTTCATCAACCTCTCCAAGTGAAGAAAGTGGACCACAAGATTAGCATTCACCCACATATTTGGAGAATTCAAGGGCAGCAGGGGTTTCTCCTCCAGCACACAACATTAACTCCTTGTCAATCCACCCTATGCAGACTCGCTCAAAAACAGGGACGCATACTGGACATGTTCAAACAAAATTTTCAAAACATGCAAATATAATGACAACTAATAATCCTTCTATGAATATTGCAAGACTTGACATTAAGGAGCCAAAATCGATTAAAACTGCTCTTAAAATGCCTCACTGGTTTGCTGCAATGCAAGAAGAATTAGATGCCTTGAAGAAAAACAATACTTGGGAGCTGGTCTGTGTCCCCCTGGAGCTAATATAGTTGGATCAAAGTGGGTTTTCAAAACCAAGCTAAATCAAGAAGGTTCCATTGAGAGGTTCAAAGCACGTTTAGTGGCAAAAGGGTTCTTGCAAGTTCCTGGTCTGGATTTTGATGAGACTTTCAGTCCGGTACTTAAGCCCACAACACTTCGTCTTGTGATTGCACTTGCTACAACTCAATCATGGCCTTTGCATCAACTTGATGTAAAGAAGGCCTTCCTCCATGGCATGCTCAAAGAAACTGTGTATATGACGCAACCCCCTGGTTTTGTTGATCCTCAATATCCTAAGTATGTATGCTGCTTACACCGCTCAATCTACGGGCTTAAACAGGCTCCTTGTGCTTGGTTTGACAGGTTCACTCTACACCTTCTAAGAATGGGGTTTTATTGTAGCCAAGCTGATTCCTCTCTTTTTGTCCTTCGAAATTCACAAGCCACTGGTATTCTTCTCTTATATGTTGGTGATATTGTTCTCATGGCTAGCACAGATGAACTACTTTAGCAAATTATTTCAAATCTCAGTGAGGAATTTGCACTCAAGGATCTAGGGCCTCTTCATTACTTCCTTGGTATAGAGGTAACAAAATTTTCTAAAGGGATTATCCTTTCTCAAAACAAGTATGCACATGATTTACTAAATCGAGCATCAATGATGGAGGCAGCTCCAATCTCTACACCATTAGCTATTAAAGACACTATTACTTCAAGAGATACTGAACTTGTTGATGCTACATCTTATCGGAGCATAGTAAGAGCCCTTCAATATTTGACTGTTACCATAATTGACATTTGTCATGCTATCAATCGAGTTTGTCAATTCATGCAAGCTCCCACTGTTTGTCACCTTCGCCTAGTAAAAAGAATTCTACGATATGTCAAGGGCACTAGTTAATATGGTATACGCTACCTAGAACATAGCCCATTGTCCTTGACTGGTTTTTGTGATGTTGATTGGGCTAGTTGTCCTCTCACACGTCGCAGTACCACAGCGTTTTGCATCTTCTTGGGTGCCAATTGTGTCTCATGGGGTTCAAAGAAACAATCGACAATGGCTCAATCTACTATAGAGGCAGAATATAGAGCACTAGCTTCCACCACCGTTGAACTTATGTGGATCACTTTCCTTCTTCGTGATGTTGGCATATCTTTGCACTCACCTCCTCAATTGTTTTCGGACAACATTAGTGCTCTTCATATGTCTATTAATCTTGTC